TTCAAGAGTCTGGTATGAAACTGTTGAAACAAGTGTATAAGTAAGTGTTTTCTACGGTATACAGATGTGGCTAAAGAGTATTATTTAATTGTTTATTTAACGTCTAAAAAGCTAAGTTATTGTTTTCTTCCATCTCGCATGTAAAGTTTATACATGGATGTTGTGAATTTAGATATTCTAAAAACGTCTTGGCATGATCAGTTTTGTGAAAGAGTAGAAAAGTATCATCAACTTACCTTCTATATAATACTGGTTTGTAATAAAGGGGGCAATTATCCAGCCATTTGCATTCACAATAACATCTCTATCTGGTCATAAAGATGACCATTAAAAACGAAGCGATTGTTCTTAACGGCCAATTTAAAATTTCATAACATATTAAAGTAATGGTTATCCCCTTAATTTCTTACACTCTAACACACAAAAATTTTCGACAAATAAAACAGAACCTACCAAAAAGTCACACGCTATCACAAAATATCCACTGTTTAGTATGATTTTAAGAGATAGGTTATTAGTGCACAACCAAAACAGTAGTGTAATAAAAAATCTAATAGTCAATAATCTTTGTAATGAATTGAAACTCTGACTGTGTGTGTGTGTATATATATATATATATATATATAAAACTGTGAACAACAATTATACTTAATTATTTTTAGAATCAGAATGAATATGGATAACATAAAAAGTTATCTGTATTCCATGCTCAATTGTTTTTTAAAAGAAATATTGAAATAAATATGGATATTTGAAAGTTTTGGAGAGTTTTTTAAAGTTACAATATAGAATTTTTGGTTCACTATTTTCATGACGTTTTCAGTGAATACTAGTTGTATTTATGCATTACAACTTTTTTTGATTAATGAGTATTTTTGAAAATTATTTCTAAAAAAATTATACTTTATGAGTTATAATTAAAGCTTCTACTTTTAAAAGTCAGATTTATTAAAACATTTGGAACTTTTCTTTTAAGAGGTTTCTTTATTATCCTCTTCACTTGATTTTTCTGGCACTTATTTTGTGTGAATATGGATGTTCTTTCTTCTTATAAGTGCCCATTTTCTTTTCCAAATATAAAAAGCAATAGGTTTGTATAAGGTTTCATTTGTTTGTTTTGGATATTTACTCAAAACTACATTAAGGCTACTTGCACTAGCCATTCCTAATTTTGAACTGAAAAGCTAGAAGAAAGGAAACTAGTAAATAGCACCCACTGTCAACTTTTGGGCTATTTTAATCAAATAGTGGGATTTAACCATCATTTATAATGCACCCACAGCCCCAAAGTACAGTGCACAATTTTCTTGTGTGTGTGGTAACAGGATGTGAACTATAGACGTTTGAAAATGCAATGTGTATACACTAACCATGAGGCCACACTTACCTCAAAAGATACAAGAAAAAAATATTAAACAGATTTTATCAGATGTTTTGTAAATATGGTTCAAAATTAACATAATGCAAAGTAATGATATTGTTACGTCTCCGTTCATTAGTTAATCTTCCGTAAATTCGTTCCGACGAAACTTTGGCGACACAAGTCCTTTCTTAAATAAAACTGGTTTACTCTTTCCGAATACAACTTTACGATACA